ATATATATATATATATATAACAAAATTTAAAGTTAATTATAATCTTGGCCATTGATATTTTAAATAATTGTTATTATTTCACTTTAAATTCTCAACTAATCAATATTTTTAAATAAAAATACGAGATGTAAAATTTGATCATCCAGTATAATAAAATATGAATTCAAAAATACAATGTAATAAAATGTCAAAATTAAAAACTATTTAAAGTCCACTGCCCCAAAAAAAAACTATTTAAAGTCAATGACCATTTAAATAAGTTATTATTTATTTAATTTTAACTATTTAATTATAATAGAATCTAATATTTAAGATTTTTTATATAACAATTCTTTCACTCAATTCTTACGTGAATCAAACATCTTTTTTTTATCACTACTAGAAGAAACGACACTTTGTGCTTCCGTAAAAAAAATAAAAATAAATTAGTAATTTTTTTAAAAAAGTGAATAATTAATTTTTAAAGAGAATAATAATAATAATAATAATAATTATTATTATTATATATATATATATATATTATTTTATCCTTAAATATAAATAATAGAAAAATAAAATAAAATATAACATAAGAATATAAATGTCTTTAAAAAAATAGACATCAAAAAATGTATTTCCTTTATATATTGTTATAAATATATTATTTTATTCATTATACATTAGAACTAAACTTTTGTGTTGAAAGACAAATAATTATTGTAATTCGGCAAATAAAAACAATAATTTATGATAGTGAACCCATCATTTCTTGTTTAGACAAATTCATAATGGTGGATTGGATCTTGATAACACAACTATATCATATGCACTTCAATTGTTTCGAAGCCATAGTTCAATATTATACCTAATTTTAACGGCAAATGATGATTTTTCATGTTCTGGACTTCTAATGAAAGTGTCATCACTAGCTAGACTGAAACCGTGAGGCAGAAAGAAATGAAACTTTGCATCGCTATATCAATATGTAATCAAATACTCTTCAAGGTTTCTCTTTGCCATGGCTAAGTTTGAATAATTTTTTTCTTCATCTATAAATATTTACATAGAAGTTTATGTAAACATGTTTTGATAACCTTTAAGGAAAGTTATCATACACTTTTTTCCTATTTCAAACGTGTTCAAAAAATCCCACCGGCTTTATTTCCCTACCATTGTTTTTATATTATGAAAAATAATGATACATCCTCCAAAAGCAAGACTCTGAAACCTTTTCCGATCGAGTGTATTAGTTGGTAAGTTTAACAAGTGTTAACTATTTATGCTTTTGGAAGGAAGCTATTACTTTCTCAAGAAATAACATCATTCTTTTATTATTTGCTTCTCATTAGATTGATCACATGAGAAAACTTTGAATAACTTTATTTTTTATTTGATTGATTGAAATTAATTCTAGTTTCTGTGATGTATACAAAATTTACATTATGAAGATTGTTTTTGTAATATAAACTGTAATAACAGAGATCAATTTTCATGATATATGAAAAAACAACACATTCTAGAAACTAGTTTTCGTATTGCATTTATGGGCAAGACGACACCCTAAACATAATTTAATTTCCATTCACTAAGTCAGTGAAAACCTTTTGTATTTAAATGCATATTAGATTAAAAAAATATTAAAATAAATATAAAAAAAATAATAGATTCCCTAAACCCATAAATCAGTCAAAAAATATGAAATAAAGATATTAAAATAAATATAAAATAATATTTTCAGGGATATAATTTTTTAAAAAAAAACATATAGAAATAAAACATAAAATTATGTAGAGCGATAATTTTTTTAATAGTGTATTTATATCGGTATCTAAATACAAAACATCATGAATTATATGTTTATTGAATTTTACAATAGCTACCTTACATATCACATTGATAATAATTCATACTTTTTACACAGAACATAACTATTAAACCTTAACTAACAATTAATATTTTAACATGTATATATAACTAAAATTTATAATAACTTATCTATATAAATAAATATTACTTTTGAATCATATTTAAAATTTATATAAATAGATGTTTTAAAATATATAAATTATATTTTGAAATTTTGAATAATAATTTATATTGTAGTAAAATATTATTTTTTTTATTAATAATTTAGTTTTAAAATATCAAAATTTAATTTTTAAATAATTATTATATTTTAAAAAAATAAATTAGATAAGAAATTAAGAAAAATCTTTAAAAATTTCTCTCATTAAAAAACAAAAAACTCTTAAAAATATTCTCGCATAAGATAAATGTTGATTAATTTTAAATGTATAGGAGTTAAATAAAGGTTTTGATTTTATATCAAAACTCAGTATTGATAATAAATTCAAAATTTAACTTGTATATTTAAAGTTTAAATATGTTTTTAATTATTATATAATGAATAAATTTTGGTCATAGTTACTGTAAAATTTTATCATTCTTTTCTTTTATGAATTTTAATTATAATATAATTGAAATATTAAAATTATTTGTTAAACGTAAATTATATAAAATTAATTTATTATCATATATTATGTATGACAAAATATTAATTATATATATATTACCCAATTGCTTAGAATTTATGGATTATCACTACACACATATACACATTAATATTTTAGTCTATGCAATATATATGATATTGATTTATTTTATATAACTAAATTTATAATAAATAAATAATTTTAAATATTTAAATTATATTTTATATACATTTATTTCTTTTTCAATTATTGATAATCATTTTCAAAAAATAAAAATAATATAATGGAAGTGAATGTAAAAATGATAAATTCAAGTAAATAAGAAGTTTCAAAAATATTAAAAGAAATATGAAAATGATATATTTAAAGAATTAAGAGGTTAAAAATGTTGAAATAAATATAAAATAGATATATAGTGATAATATTTAAAATTTTAATATATATATATATATATATATAATTTTAAATTAAAGCATCACCCTTTAGAACTAGATGTTTAGTTGATATAAAAGAATACAAAAAGCAATTGCACAATTATTATTTGCTAAATCGTTCATTTGATATCTTTAGGAGAGAAAACAATGAACTATGATGAGTATAATAAAAGAGAGTAGTTTGTTTATAAAATAGAAAATAAAATCAAGAATAATGATAGAATAAAATAAATATTATAAGTTAATTGAAATTCAAATATATTTTATACTTCTAAATTTCAATAAATTTATATTCTATTTTAAATTTCAATTTCCATCTTATTTAAAATTATCTTTATTTTTATTTTGTATAAAGAAATACATAAAAAATATAAAGAAATACATAAAAAAATTTCATGTTAAACTGTATATTAATACAAATTAAATATATAGATAATATTTACATATATAATATGCTTACAATTGATATCACAAAATAATATATGTAATATCTACATAGATATTATATTATTAAATATATAATTTAAAATTAATAATATACTATAAAAGTTATTTAAGTTGCATATATTACAAATACTTTAGAATAAGTAGTCATTATATTCTTGTTTTAATAAGACTCTTTTGCTCTTCCATTAAAAAATTCAATTCTCATTACTATTTTTGTGATTTGTAATCTCTTAAAAAAAATATAAAATAAATTATGGTTGAACTGGTTTGACCCACTAGTTCATTGATCGAACAGAAAAATTAACCAGTTCAATCAAGCTTGAAACGGATCAAATGCATAATCAATCCAACTTAAAATTCATACTGACTGGACCACTGGTTCCCGGTTCAACCGGTCCGATCCAATTTTTAAAAAGAATTATAAGACACATTAAATGTTATAATTTAATTCAAATTCAAATACACAATAACTGATAAGAATAAATTGAAAAATATATCTCATGTGACAAATTACAGGATCTTAATCTCAATTCTAAGAGATAAATTATTAGTTACTTTTTCAAATTTATTGCAATCAGTTAATTTGATCAAACAAATATCCTGAATTATCTAAACAAACATGAATGATATATAGTGTTGGGAAGAAACTTTAAAGGCTAGAAGGAAGTGTTTAAGATTGGGAGAGGTTGGAAGATTTTGAGAGAAAGAAAGGCTTGTTGTATTGAATGCTTCTAAACTTTTTGGCTTACATCCAAATGATACAACCATCCCCTATTTATACTAGTGGCACCTCCTTAACCAATGGTTAGGATCTTGCAACCACAACATTCATTTAAGGGTTATAATTCATTCTCTAGAACTTTCTAAAACATTCCTACAATTCTAAAGTTTTCTAAACTTATCTAGAAACATCTTATGGATAAACATCTATAGATATTTTGTACATCATTCTAGAATCTTTTAGATAGGATTTTCTAGAATTCTATTTGGGCCTTTGCTAATATTGGGCTTTTATCTTTTAAGCCCAACATACAAAATCAATTTATATTCCAACAATATAGGACAAAATAAATATTAAGATTTAATTCAAATTTAAATAAGCAATAAATGATTAGAATAAATTGAAAAAAATATCTCGTGAGAAATTCCAGCAGGATCTTAACCTCGATCGAAAGATAAATTAGTTACTTTTTCAAATTTATTGCAATCAATTAATTTAATAATAGAAATATCCTTAATTATCTAGATAATTTAATTATAAGATTATTATTTTAAGCAGAAAAGAAGAAAATTATTATAAAAAGATAGTGTTCAAGTTTATAAAAATTTCTTCTTAAACTTCTTTATTTTTTTAATAATATAAACATATAATTTAATTTTTTTTAAATATTTTTATTATAAATTTTAATTTTATAAAATAAATATTCAATTTATATTTTACAAATTTAAATACGTACCAATTTGAATTTTTTCCATTTTTTTTTTGTATCTAAATTTTGTAAACAACATACACCCACGTTAAAAGCCTCACGTGCATGATATTTAGAGCTATCTGAGTAACAACCGTGTAGGCCATACAAAATCTTGTTGCTGGTATTTCTGTTTGCTGAATTGTTTTCCTTTTTTAATGCAGTCTTTGAAATTTCCATAACTCCATCATTCAATTGTGGTAAATTAGAAAGCAACCTCCGATCATAGTCATCGTACCAATTAGGTTTTGCTGCAACATCGTTGTTGGCTTGTTTTTCTTTTTGTTTACTAAAATTGTTTAGTATTTTTTTTTTCTATTTCACACTCTTCATTCTTGTGTATAGGCATTCAAATGACAGAAAGAAAGGTCTTTAAAATAGCACCACAACACGGTGGTGGTAGCGTGGATAGGTTAAGTGAACTCTCTGAGGGTATTCTTCTTCACATCCTCTCACGATTGGATACGAAAGAAGCCGCAGTCACATCAATTTTGTCCACTGCATGGAGAAACCTTTTTCTTTCGGTTCCCGAAATTCGCCTTTGTTTCTCCAGAATGGATGCTTTTGAACGCGGTGGACTCTTTCCTCTTTTCACACGTTTCGCCAATCGAGTTCTTCAAGAGCGAAATGATGCACCCATTAAAGGTATTCGGCTTAACGTGGAGTTCTTCAATGAAAGGTTTCGACCCAGTTTGGAATCGTTGTTCTCCACAGTGGCTCATTCACTTTCCACTCACAAAGTTCAAGTTGTGTGTATTATTGTTGATATTGATAGCCTAAATGAGTTTGATGAGTTTGAGCCATGCACTTTTATTAAGGTGCCACGTGGAATGTTCTCGTCTGAGACCCTAGTTCATTTGCATTTACACGTTCGTGTGGCTTGGGATGTTCCAAAATTTGTTTGGTTGCCGAATCTCAAGTTTCTTCACTTGATTTCGTTAAGATTGGTGGACCAAGATTCTGTTCCGAGGCTTCTACAAGGTTGTCCTTTGCTTGAAAATCTGATACTAGTTTTGCGGTCTTTGGATGAGTTCGAGAATGGAGAAGAAGCCGTACAAGTCGATTCTCTTAGCATCTTCAGTCCCTCCCTGAAGTGGTTGATGTTTGTGTGGCAAGATAGAGTTGAATCAAACTTCAGTGTTTTTGTGACATCGGAAAATCTTGAGAGTTTCTCTTGCGAACTCGAAGGGCCGTACAAGGTTACATTAGATGCGCCAAAGCTCAAGTCTTTGAACCTTTATGGGGAGGTGTTTGAATTTAACATGACTCAAAAACTGGTCTCTATTGTTGAGGTACGGGTAGAAGCTAAATTTATGCGCCTTTCGAACGACCCACATGACCGTTTTTTATGTGCTCAACGTGCTTTTACGTTCTTTAGTGGCTTTCAACATGTGAGATCCCTGTGTTTGTCTGTGACCTTTATAAAGGTGTGCTATTTTCATTTCTAGTTTGTCTTGGTAGTCTTATCTTTAAGGACCAAACTTACCATTCATACCATAGATATTGTTTGATAATGTTTTTCTATCAGAATTGGGATTCCACTTCAAAAATATTACATAGGTGAAAGTCCAATTCTATTTGGAAAACAATATCAATATCTATAGTAGTGTAAGTATGTTTGGATACAAGAAAATACTTATTATTTTTAATAGAGAAGTTTTCAAAAGTGTTTTTAACTTGTATCTAGACATGGTCGATATCTATGTTTTTTCCTATCTTTAATTGTTATGTAATTCTTGTTCTTGCATGTGTGAAGGCTCTCTATCTTTATCCATCGGTGCCAACTCTCACGAACTTGATCAAGCTAGAGCTTAAACCTGACTATACCCTTCAGTTTGACGGTGGGGTGATCTCGCGGGTGCTATTGAACTTGTTTGAATGTTCTCCAAACCTTGAAGTCCTTATCTTCAATACGGTATGTGGTGTTGGATATTTTGTGCATAGGTTAATTGCTATGCATTTTGCAGCCACTTATATACTTTATATGAACAGGTGTCCGATGTTTACTTTGGCGACGGTGACTATTTTGATTCTGTTTTGTCACGGGCTCTTCCACTGTCATTTGTTGAGCATCTTAAGGTAATAGAACTGAACAAATTTAGGTATGGAGAACTTGAATTCAAGCTGGTGGAATATTTTTTGAAGAATGGAAAATCTCTGGAAAAGATTGCTATTGGTGTAAATGATTGGGAGTTTGTACCGAAACATCGCAACAAGATACTCTCCTTCGAGAAGTGCTCAGAGGATTGTCAGATTGTATTCAGATAGATATAAGATTTCACACAATACTCACATTTACAACTAGCTAGTGATGAATCTATCTCCATAATATTATTAATTTGTGGCAATTGGTAAATTGTTATGCATATAATTCCATTGAGACTTATGAAATTGTGTCTACTAGTAAGGAACTAGGAATGATATTATGTAACATTTGGTGAATTGTGAATACGATGGCCTTTTACTTTTTTTTTTTTGTTTGATATGGGTTGAGTAAAAATTCTTGTTCTTTTGCAAATGGTATGATTTATCTGATGGAATGTGCTTTGTTAACATTTTTTTTTATTTTTGTAACATTTATGCTTCTTGATATTTTTTTCTTATGACTCATCACGTTATCAATTTCTTTGTGAAGATCAAATTAGCCATCAACCGCAAATTTTTTAAATTCTACCAGAATTTCATGTGATGGTATTGTCTAGTTTTTTTTCGGAAGTAGTTCTTATTGTGAGACCTCGACTAATGGGAGAACTTGGATTGTATTTTTTTTTTTTTTTGATATATGTCTTACAATTCGCAATTTTTCAAATTTAAACGTATTTGATATCTTTTTTCTATATATAGGTCACAATGAAAGAATTAAAGAAAAACATCCAATATCAGTTTTGTGTGTAAGGGTGTCTAATGAAGTCTTTTCTATATATAGGTCACAATGAAAGAATTGAAGAAAAATACCTAATATCAGTTTTCTCTGTACAAGGGTGTCTAAGCATATTCTGGTTTGTTAGCACTTTACAGCAACTGGTTTCTAGTTTTCGACATTGTTTTACGGTTTCACATCACTTGACACCATACTTAGCATCTCAGCATTTCTGGTTTCATTGATGTGCATAGATGTGACTGTAGGAGTAAATTGTCTGGGGGAAAAGTTAGCATTGAAGCTCCTAATAAAATTTGTTACTTAAAAATAAAGAGCTTTTTCACATTGCTCTTAGGCCTCTGCTTGTAGTTATGTTGTTTTGTCAGAAAAAATTTAAACAGCAAGTATTCAAAATTAATTCTAGAATTCAAGAAGTTGCTTTCACAAGCTACCGAAATTACAAGACATGGTAGGAAACTACATTGCACATAACACATTATTCGACTTTTCTTAAAGATATATTGAGGAATTAGAACACCAGTAGGCATTGAAAGTACTGACTCAAGATCGCCTGAAATAAAGTACCTTCGAGTTTCCAGAGGTTCATTTATGTTTTTACTGTCTTGAAAAAGAAATGGTGTGATTATGAATAATGTGATATCATGGAATAGATACCAATTCTGACTTCTGCTTCTACTGAACTTAATGAATCTTGTTACATGACAATTCTTATCTATGAATAGTTCGGTAGAATTATTGAAGAGTCTTGAAGGAACTTGTAGCATTATTAGATAGGCTGAGGAGAGTAAATCTTTTGTTCAATGACATAATAGATGATCTTTTGTTTCTCCATTTCTTCCTAACTCATTTCTTGTGTCTGTCCATGTCAGCAACAATCTAATCAAGCAATTAGAAATTTAGAATATAATTGCATGTAGGAAAAACCTTTAGCAAGAATACACAAGTCTAACTGGAACTAACCTTTGTGTCCTGTTTCATTTTTCACCATTAAAAGGTGTTAAGATATTTAACAATTAAATACACAAGTTAAATGTATGAATATGTAATATCCATTTTCATAGAACCAAGGGTTTGAAAAGTGTCAATTTTACTTAAAAAAAATATAATCTTATTAACATTTATTTGGCTACATTTAAAAATAAAATTTATTTTTAACTCTAAAAAATATTGTAAAAATCAAAACGATCCGTGAATTAGTTAGTTTTCAAAATTTGATAATTTTTAGATTAATGAATATATCTCATTATTTTGCATATTAATTTGATCAAACATCAAAGATTTTTATAAATTGAGGCAAAGTACATTTCGCTTAGCAAAATTAGAGAAAAATAAAAGCGAGTCACTGCATAATTTGGCTTAGCAAATCAAGAATGATTGATCGCAATTGATCTAGGGAGCAAAAACGCTCAACTGAATAAAAAAATGGCAAAAACGCTCAACTGAATAAAAAAATGTCTAAGCCAAATTGTCACACCTATTTTATAATTCTAAACTTAGTTTTATAGTATATCTTTTATAAATTATTAATTCAATTATAAAATTAATATTTATAAAATGGTTGTTTTTTGTCCTAAAAAAATATTTTGTAATTATAAAAATAAAATATGTATATATACAAATATAAGAATAAAAGAAAATTACATGCAGAACTATACATATAGGGAGATCATTAATACATCATATCATGTATAAAAGTACATATAATGATACATGTATTAGTTTTATCATCTAAGTGAAGGAAAAAAGGTCTTATTTACAAACAATTTTTTTCCTTCATATTCATCTCAAGTTGGAATAAGTTTATTATTGGGTTAGTATGGTTGGCAGGTGGTAGGTAAAACGTAACTACTGTAGGATTATCATCAACAACGGTAAGAATTTCTTGATTTAGAGAAAATACAAAAGTTGATAAACCTATGTCTTGGAAGTTAATTGAATTTGTAATAATGTCCATACTCTAATTAATTAGTATCAGAGAATACATAACCAAAATAACTGTAAAAGGTCTAGGTATAGTTGATAGATTAATCTATTTAAAATTTTGAATAGTACATGCACGCGTGCACATAAAATATAGATAAACATAATATAAAATAGATAAATATTAATTTTATAACAAAAGTGATAAAAGTCTATTTTCCATTATCTTAAAATTTGAAGAAATAGAAATTTGAAAATTGTTTTCTACTGACCTAACCAAAATAGTTTGACGAGACTCTCTCATTCTCTTTCATACGCTCTAGATTCACCTTCTCTTGAACTCTATTATTGCTCTACCTTCTTACTTTCTCTCGTTTCACTATGCATTCCATCAACTTTCACTTACTATTTATAGATAGATTTATGTAATAATTACTTAGTTATGTTTCAACAACTTGAGTTTCATTTCAATTTTTTTAGTTTTGTTAATATGTAATATTTAGTTAATAGATGATAAGCGAGAATAAAAAAAATCTTCAACTTTTAGATTATCCCTTATCCGTAAAATCAAAAAATACTTCTTAATTCATATAAATTGATAAAGATCACATTTTATACTAAAAAAATAATAATAATAATAATGAAATATTACACTCCTAACTATGGTAAATCAAGTAATATATATATATATATATAGACATTTTGGCTGAATTTTCTAATTCAAAAATAAAATGGTAAAATTTGACCACATATCGCATAAAATTTGGTCAAGACTATGATATATCATAGTCTCAGACGGTACGGACAATAATTTTTTCTAGCTTTATCTTTGATTTTGGTGTTTTGTAATAATAATAATAATAATAATAATAATAATAATGTATTTGCAATAATAATGTAATTAAAATATTATAGTAAAAATTAATATATTATATCTATTTATTTAAAAATCTTACAACTAGGAATTTAGATTATTATTGTAAAAATTAAATATTATATATAGATCCATTCAATTGCTAAAAATATTAAAAATAAATTAAGAACAATTGAAATTATAATAATATAATTAAACATGGTCTTAAAAACTTGAAATATTATAGGATTTGATCCAGAGAGCAAGAAAAATTGGTAGTAAAGAAGCATTTAGCCAAATCAGAAATGACTGAACGAAATTGGTCTAGAAAGCAAAGATATTTGGGAGCAAAAATGGTTGAGCTAGATAAAAAATGACTCAATAAATTAACTTTCTTCAACTTGAAGAATTCGAAATCTACTCAACCAAATCAGAAATGACCGAACAAAATTGGCCACTTAAGCCATGCTCTATTTTTGGGATTGGGAGATGTAAAAGGAAATTTAAAGGAAACAACACAAGGTTAGTTAGAGCGAGTACGAAGAATAGGGAGAAGGAAATCATTCAAGACCTTTAGGGAGGGAATATCTTTGGTTCATTTTTCTTTTCTCATACTTTCATTGTAATGGGGATTGCTCTTACCATCATGAGTAACTAATCTTTCTCTTTGTTGGGATTAAATGTAAATTTATGCATCTCATCTGCAATTCTTTAATATATATATATATATATATATATATGATATCCTATTATTCAATTGAGTCAAACCACCTAATAAATTTAAAGGCTAGGAATAAATTTAAAGTTGTTATTTGATTAAATTCATTAACTTAATGCAAAGACATTAATTTGATAATGAAAGTGGCCAAGGCTCAAATTCTGACTCTTGTGAATGTAGAAAATTCAAGATAGGAGACGATGCCCACATATTCGATGGTTGTCTAACCCACAAAGGAGATTGTCCTACGTTTGATGTGGAATACAACTTGGTAATAAACCAAAAACGTAATTAGTTATCAAACTATGATCCTTAGAATTTTCAAAGTTAAGGGATTAACTTAGAATGATTTTAAAAATTCAATAGCACTGATATATAGGAATCATGCGTAGAGAACCTTAGGAGTGTACAGGAATGTGATAAATGAAAAAAAGTCATTCTCAATGTCTTATTCTAGAACCTTATATTTGGTGTTTTTATATTTTTCTTCTTGTTAGTTTAATGCTCCAATTTCAAAATTACAAACTCATATAATTGTAAATTGTTATTTCACAAGTTTGAATTAGGATAATAAAAATTAAAAAATATCTGACAAGTCCATGCACATAGGACAACTCATTTTTCAACTATATTGCAGTAGACTTGGTGTTCTTATCAGAATATCAACAAATCTCTTGACGTTGTTGCTAGGGACTTGTGTCAAGATATTTAGTAATTTCAATTTATCCTTTATTAAAGCTTGTTTGTTATTAAGTTGTATATACTTTCTAGCTAGCTAGTTAAATTTAGTTTATTTTTTACTTTTTTTGCTAATCTCTTTGTTTAGTTCTTTTATGTATGCAAGGTATGACTCGGGTTGAGTAGTTACTCTTTAGTCCTAAACTAGAAAAAATAAC